TTTATCTAATAATTATTAGGGAAAAAAATGTTAATAAACTCATTCTTATAGACAGATCAAAGAAACAAGTTTAATTCACCTAAAATGTATCTCAAGATATCACTTAAGACTTATAATGTTATTTACTAAAATCTGTGTCTATATTAACCTAAACTAGTAAACCAGGAGTGATTTTTTTTTCCCCCTAGGGGACATTTGGCAATGTCTGGAGACATTTTTGGTTGTCCCAATATGGAAGTTGTCATTGGCCAGGAATGTTGCTCACCATCATACAGTACATAGAACAGGCTCCCATAACAAAGAATTATCCAACCCAAAATGTCAATAGTGCTGAAGTAGAGAAACCCTGATCTAAACCACTCTCTGAAACTATAAGATATTTATAAAGTAATATCTGTAAGCATATTTAGGATCTACCAAATTGTTTGCTAAGAGTTGACTTAGCCGGGTGCCTGGGTGGCTCAGTGGGTTAAGCCTCTGCCTTCGGCTCAGGTCATGATCCCAGGGTCCTGGGATCCAGCCCCACATCGGCTCTCTGCTCAGCAGGGAACCTGCTTCATCCCTTCCCCCGCCCCCACCCCCCGCCCGCCTCTATGCCTACTTGTGATCTCTGTCTGTCAAATAAATAAATAAAATCTTAAAAAATTAAGAAAAAAAAAAAGAGTTGACTTACCCAACCATAATCTTTTTTTTGAAAAACTGAAGTATAATTGACATATAATATTATATCAGTTTCAGGGGCTGTACATACTGATTCAACAATTAAACACATTACAGAATGCTCACAGAAAGCATAGTTACCATCTGTCACCAGATAAATTTTTTACAAATTATTGACTATATTGCCTAGGCTGTACTTTTCATCCCCGTGACTTACTTATTTATAAAGGGAAGTTTGTACCTCTTAACCTCCTTCACCTATTTCATCTGCCCCCTCAACTACCTCCCCTCTGACAACTACTAGTTGGTTCTCTGTGTTTAACTCTGTTTAGATTATGCAGTCCTGGGGTGCTTGGGTGGCTCAGTCATTAAAGTTCTGCCTTAGCTCAGGTCATGATCCCAGGGTCCTGGGATTAAGCCCCATGTCGGGCTCCCTGCTCAGCAGGAAGCCTACTTCTCCCTCTCCCACTCCCCTTGCTTGTGTTCCCTCTTTTGCTGTCTCTCTCTGTCAAATAAATAAATAAAATCTTAAAAAAAAAAAAAAAGATTATGCAGTCCTTTAAGGCAGGAACATGCCTTTGAATCCCCAGCAGGGAGGAGCAGAGGGAGAGGGAGAAGCAGGCTCCCTGTTGAGCAGGGACACCATCAAGCGGCTCCATCCCAGGATCCTGAGATCATAACTGGGCTGAAGGCAGACGCCTAACCGACTGAGCCACCCAGGAGCCCAGGCCTAACACTTAAATAATGTTTGCTGAATGTATTTTAGTACTTGTAGGTGAGCCACACAACACTGAGATGACCAGATATTTTGAGTTTGTCTGATTTAACCATAGTGACATGGATGCCATGTCCTCAGCCAAGCCCACGGATCGTTCCTTAGAAGTACCTAGGACATTTTGAAACAATAAGGATATCACTTGATATATTTTCTGCTTTATTTTAATACTTTCCTCTTCCTGGGGCTCCACAGTCTTCATGGTTTTACCAACATCTCTACACTGATCACTTCCAAAATCTAGATAGAGTCAGTCTTACAGTTGAGAAGGGTCTCAGATACCATAGCCTTCAGCCTTCACCAGAGGAGATCCCTCCCACAACTCCGACAACTGCTCATAGAGCCCACTTGGGTGGGTGAGTCTACTCACTCTGTCCAATGAAATCAGACAGGCCTAACTACTCTCCAGTCCACCCAGATCCGCACCCAAAATTCCCGCAGATCTTGTGGCCACCTCAGGCACATCACAGAACTAGGCCGCCTGCGCAATGTAGATCCCTCTCCATCTGTGAAGACAGATGTGCCACCGAATTTCGAGATATTAATCTATATTTTTCCTTTTGTATTTTCCCCCTTTCTTTCCTACCACTCATGCAGGTGGCAGGATCTGGGCTTCCTCGTCTGGCGGTGTGGTGGTGGGGGGCACACTGTGGCAGGAAATTGCCAGCTCTCCCTTTCCCTTCCTGGGTTTTGTTTCCCAAAAGCCTACACTGGTTGAGGAGATTTTGCTAACTGACTCAGGAAACAAAGGAAGGTGGGGATGCTTGTAGATATAACAAAAGCAAATAGGAAGTTCCATTAATAGCAACGAGAGGGGAAAAGAGGGAGGAGAGACCTCCTTTCCCTCAGACACAGAAAAGAAAGGAATCTCTTGCAAAGGTCAGAAAGCAGGGACTTCCCTGTCTCCTCCCTTACCAAGATTCTCTGCCCCAGATGAGGTCTGATACAGCAGAACATCCATCCTGAAGGACCACATGGACTTGGCCAATGGTTGCCCGAACTGGAACTCTCGGCTTCAACTCCCTCAATTTCCTTAACGACCCCCATTACCATTTGACGACTTTGTTCTGTCCTGGAGATGTCTCTTCACAGCAAAGTTGGGGGCCAGAGACTCACCAGCTCTGTAGAGGTGGAAGGGCACAGCGCATGGAGGTTTGTTGGAGTCTGACAGACCTAGGGCTGAATCTGGGGCTCATTTCCTAATTGTTACCTCCAACAACTTTCCTAATCAGGGACTTAGCTTTCCCTTCTAGGAAGTAAGGATGATGTTATCTACGAGGGTGGTCATAGAGGTCTATGGTCAGATATCCTGGAAAACCCGCAGTCATGAGTGCAGTCAGCAGATAGCATGGTGCAGGGAGATGGGGGTACTGTGGCATCTTCTGGAATGACCGAAGCATTGGTCCAAGCCAATGCCGTCCTCTCCACAGGCTGCTCCTAGCCAGTGCCTGAGCGCAGCATGGGGACTAGAGCCTGAACAGTTCTGTCCAACATGTGACAAACTTGTAAGAAAAGCTACATATCAGTCTGAGGCTCCTGCTATCCATTTCTCCCTCCTTCCTCCCTTCCTTTCATGAGACTAGTCCGGTCTGGTCGGAAGGCTCTATTAGCCTGTTCTCCCCTCTTTCTCTGTGTTTAGTCTTTCATAGGTATTTTCTCCAGTAAGTTGCACTTCTAATTCCATTTAAGTGTCTGCTTCCCAAGACCCAAACTGACACAACTCTCTTTATAAGACTCTTCTAAATATTGGAAATAATAGCATACTCCTAGCGTTTGGTATCTGCTCAGTAAGGGTTAACTTCCATTAGCTGGTAAGGACTGTAGAGTCAGGGGCTGGGTAGTACATTCTTGTATTTACACACAGGGTTTGAATTACACATTCCATTTTGTAAGTGGACTTCGTAGGCAATGTGAAGTTAGACTTCTTAACATAACACTCCAGACTCCAGCCTATCCAAATTATCTGTGGGGCAGGTAACCAGGTATGTGTACAGGTAGGTGGGACTGTGAGGACAGGACACTGGCTTTGGGGCCAGATAAATCTAATCTAGTTCTAATTTGCTGTGTGACCTTAGGAAAGTCATTTCACCTCTCTCCCTTCAGTAGCCTCATCTACAAAATGGGGATAATACAAAATAAGTATAATTACCTTACTAGGTAACAGTGAAGATTAGAAATAAGCTATGTAAAGCATCTAGCTTCGCTTCTGGCCTAATAAGCATCCGATAAAAGGATGCATCCTACTCTTACTGCCTTTCACTCATTCACTTAGTCAATAAATATTTATTGTGGGACTATCATAATGAAGGACTGAGATATAACAGTGAACCAGACAGGAACACATCCTTACAGAGCCTGACAGGTTAGCCATGGCAGAATGCAAAGTATATCTGATAATTTTAACAGAAACACCTAGGTGGTACTTATTCCATGCCAGGCTCTGTCCTAAGAGCTTTTTTTTTTTTTTAAGATTTTATTTTTTTATTTGAGAGACAGAGATCATAAGTAGGCAGAGAGAGGGGGGGAAGCAGGCTCCCTGCCAAGCAGAGAGCCCAATGTGGGGCTTGATCCCAGGACTCTGGGATCATGACCTGAGCTGAAGACAGAGGCTTTAACCCACTGAGCCACCCAGGCACCCCTGTCCTAAGAGCTTTACCGCATACTCACTCATTGAAACCTTACACCAACCCAGTGAGGAAAGTACTTGCTCAAGATTACAAAACCAGTGTGGATCTGAACATGGGCAATCTGGCTTCAGAGTGAATGCTTTTAACAGCTATGCTGTATTGTCTCTCTAAACATCTGAATTAGATTTTATGCTTCCACAGGGCATAAATGATCCTTACAAAAGTATATATTTAAAAACCTAGTAAATTAAATCAGTAGGAAAGACAGTTATTTTCTTTAGAGAAACACAGGCACAGAAGTAGTAAATCAGCTGAGCGGTAGACACGTATCAGCCACTGGTGACCCACGGGAGAACAGTCAGCACCTCCCCCCACCCAAATCCCTGTCATTTTCTTGGCTTCCACCTCAGTAGTTGCTTTCTGGCAATGGCACCAGGACATACGTTGCTATAATATAATTTTTCATCTTACTTAACCCTGACCTCTTCATCGGCTATAACCGTAGGGCTCTTCTAGTTCCCATAAATTCTCAACCTTCAAGGTCACATCTTTTCTGCCTACTGGAATTTTCTGGCAGAAAAATTAAAGGAAAGTCAAATTAGTATGTTTTATTTGCTTTTCTCTTTTCATAAATGTGTCCCCATGACTGGATTAAGTAGTCTGCCGAGTATTTGCACGGTTATCAGGCAGCAGGCAAGTGATGGGACACTGGACACTAGGTTCAGTTCTTACACGGCAGAACTGATGTCCCAGTTCCGGATGCCTGAGTGTAGCCAACAGGACAGCAGCAGTGTGTGAGAAAAACCCTTTATGTTTATGACAACAGATCATCACCATCATTCTAGAACAAAATGACAATGGTAATGGGAAAACAAAAAACACGCCAGCCCCTCCTGTCCCAGCAAGAATGACGAACGCAAAAAAATGATGGTACTTACTGGGGGACATTGTGCAAGTTTATCAGCTGCCACCAGTTGAACATTTAAGTGTTTGCTTTGGGACTTTCCTCTAGACTTAATCAACCGCTGTAAAACCTGATAGAAGAAGACATGAATCAATGAGTTAAAAGAAAAATGAATAAACCAAGGCTTTTTAATATAGTCTGGCTAGCCCTGAGTATTAATAGAGAGGAAATACAATATGAAAAATGATATATATAAACTCTGTAATGACATCACCCACTTACAGTGGCTCTCACTTGCAGAGGCTTTGATATGTACATCCTATTCTCTCTCCGTGTGGGGTCCTGGAGGGAACTCAAGTTCCTGCCCTAGATTTTACCCAGAGATTTTATTTATTTATTTATTTACTTTTAAACATTTTTTAAAGAGTGTATTTATTTATTTGACAGAGAGAGAGAGAGAGAGAGAGAGAGAGAGCACAGCAGGGGGAGTGGAAGAGGGCGAGGGAAAAGCAGACTCTGCACTGAACAGGAAGCCTGACACTGGGGCTCAATCCCAGGACCCTGGGGTCATGACCCGAGTTGAAGGCAGACACTAAACTGACTGAGCCACCCAGGTGCTCCTACCCAGAGAAATTAGAACCCTGCAAAAGTGGAGGAACTGATCTGTACAAGGTCATTTATGTCCAAATTCAGTGAAGTAATATTTTAGATCACTATCTCAATATCAGATAAATATCAGTCATTTATATATCTGGTCCTTTTGGTCACTGATAATTATTGAGGTGTTCCAGTTTACATTAACAAGATTTCACATTAGAAATCTAGGCAAAACATTTGCACTGGCATATTGCTACCTATAAACCAGTGATTACCTGTGTCATTCAGGCATGGCTATAACTGCACTTGCCATATACTCCCTCTCCCTTCCATTTTTTTTTAAGCTGAAATAGGGCCCTCACCCCAAAATAGTACTGGTCGGTGAGGCTCTACGACACCTCAGCGTGTATGTCCACAGGAGACCCTGTTCCTACACTTAATGACCCCATGGTGACTGGGGCAGTGGGCAAAAGAGGTTGAAATCTATTCCGCTGCAATGAAGTGTATCTGAATCCCCCTCAGTGCAGGGCCAAAGAGACCTCGAGGTGGTCAAGGCAGATTCAATCCATTCTAATGGTTCCCAAAAGGTCCTGGTTTGGTCAGGATTCCCAAGTCCATCCCGTGCAGAATGAGTGCCTGCAAAGATGGAAGGCTGAGGGCTGGGGAAGGACACAGCTTCTTTAGACATTCTCCATCTGTGAGAGGCGACTACTGTTCTGGTTGGAAGTTGAATTACACATAGCACTAAACTGCACTCTTGGAGGCACTGAAAATAAACTAATTATTAAGGTAACACCTCCCTAGGATATCTATTTCACATTAACTTTTTAGAATATCATCACTTCTTAAAAATGAAAGAACAGCCTAATCAAAAGAGACCAATTTGAGGCTGTCTCACTTTTATTTTTATCTACCTTTGTGGCATAAAGACACAGGGCAGATATCCCACTATGTTTAATCACAGAATACCTTACTCCCTGGAGACCCAAACTGAGCCCATATATAATGTCTATAATTTTTCCATAAGAGATTTTAAACAGTGAAGTTTGGCTTTATATATGATAGATGTATATACCTTTACTTGCTCAGTCGGGGAGAGAATATAGGTGTTACAAGAATCAATATTGCCCAAGAAATTAACTAAGATATAACCTAAAGTCTCTGAAAAGCCATACTTCCTTTTCCATACCTTTCTTAATTTTTTATTTCTATTGTATTCTTGCATAACTGCCTGCCTGGTGAACCACAATAGAAAGAGACCTTCTTTAAAACAATGGCTATTCTTTATTTGCTATCTTAGAATTTCTAGAACTTGGACAGACTGTGGGAATTAAAAACTGCCCATTAAAGGCATCTCAATAAGATATTCTCCTTACCCACTAACAACAAAGCACAGAGCAAAGAATATTCCAAAGGAAATGAGCTTCTAATCTGTAAGGCAGAAATGAGCTAATTACCTTTGGAGATGAGACTTTTACATGAACAATAATTGGTGCTAAAGAAGTCTTTATAAGTTGCGCTGGGTGATTGATGGTGTCTGCGTCAAGAACAACCAGTTGCAAAGATCTCGCCAACTCAAAGATTCTTTCAATTTCACTTTGTACTTCCGCTAAAAGGAGAAATAATATGTAACAGGACATAGTTATTTTTATTAATTAATTCTTACATTTAAAAACATAGTACCCCTTTCAGATGTTTGTCTACATTGCAAAACAGAACGTTTTGAATTTCATATTTCTATTCACTTAAGATCTTTTCCAAAGAGAGAGAGATGGGTTGAGTTTTGAGTTTTGCATAAAAAAAAATTTGGTGAAAAAATTGAGATGGCTCTCTTAACTCACTTCTTACACTTGCCCTGAAATTTAGCTATTTATATAGCTAGGTTGTTTATGACTGTTGCTTTGTTCTAAAGAACTTTTACTTTTTTTTTTTTAAGATTTTATTTATTTATTTGACAGAGAGAGAGAGAGAGAGATCAGAAAGAGGCAGAGAGGCAGGTAGAGAGAGAGAGGGGGAGAAGCAGACTCCCTGCTGAGCAGAGAGCCCAATGCCAGGCTTGATCCCAAGACCCTGAGATCATGACCTGAGCTGAAGGCAGAGGCTTAACCCACTCAGCCGCCCAGGTGCCCCTAAAGAACTTTTACTTTATCTATGAAAGCTGAAACCACATTTAGGAAAGACTTGAAATACATGTGTAGAGCAACATCACATGGAAAGCAAATTACACGGAAATATTTCAAGCAATCAACAATTTATATATTAATATTCTGTAACTATGTTTTTTAAAAATCCCACAACTCATCTGTGTTGAATGACATGCATATTTTTCATCCAGGGTTAAATGTCGGGTCTACTCTTACAACTAATATATGGCTATGTCTTAATTCAAGTATTAGGGCTGGTACACTTGTTCTAGGGAATAGTTTTCAGTATTAAAGGAAAAAAAACCTAAGGCAATTATATTATAAATGCTGAAATGTCTTGAGAATGAAAATCTATCCAACTGTCTGTAATGGCCAAGTGACCTGAATCCCTGCACAAATCTGGTGAAATAAAAAAATCTAGTTATTCTCCATGTCTGAAGCAATCCAGCTATTTTTAAAACAAAGCAGATTATCGATAAAAACAAAATTTGGCTTTCTAAAGCAGAAAATACTTTTTCATATATATTTTATAAATTATCTGATTTACTGGGTCATGTCCAAAGTCTGAATTAGACTACTTAATTTTCAGAGAGATGATCTTGTTTTGCTTTTTACTTATTTTTATTTTTGGCTTATATATTATAGGCATGACCTAGCAATGTTGTAATCTTGTTTAAATTACACAGAGTAGACAAAGTTACCTAATATAAATCACTTCAAATATGGTCTAGGAAAGAGGTGATGTTGCTCTAAATATACTCATTGAAAAGGTTTTCTACCAGAAAGCCACGATTTGTTTTGTTTACCCAGTATATATTCAAGTTCACGTCACCCACCAAAAAATCCTCCCTTCCTTAACAAGGGTGTGCAGGAGTATGAATGCTCAAGACTATCTTGTAATTCTACTTTCATGGGTTTTGCATAATAGCCTACAATTCTTTCCACAAAATCTCTGATGTTTAATGCATGATTTGTATTAGAAATAGGAATTTCGAGAATGAACATAACTATTATTTTTCATATGATCCAATCCCAATGGTCTGAAAGATTTTATACTGCTTTGAAAAGTGACTAGCTCCCAAGACATTTATGTAAAGAATTTGGACAATTAGGCTCATTTGCAAAATTCTTCTGAAATCACACACTACATTTGTTAATAATAATAACATACCTTTCCCTTTTTTTCTCATGTGTCAAAAACAGTTAAAAAGGGTTTTTCTTATGAGAGAAGCTCAGTAAAGTGTAATTTGTAGTGTAGCAGATTTCAGCCTCTGGCTGTTGGAGCACTTTCTCCATTTGTTGTTGTCATTAAATTGCCACTAGTTTAACTCCTGGCCAGGACTATCGTAGAACAAATCTGCGTTACTTTAAGTTTCAAATCTGAATACAGTGTTTCCTGGAGTAGCAAAAAGGTAGTGAGGCAAAATGGACTACTCTCATACAAAGAACCCTTGAGGCACACTGTGTAAATACTACAGAAATACCTAGCCTTATTTACTCTGCATAAGCAATGAGGTAAACGTGGTTTTTGACCTGTGCAGAGGGCAAGCACATCCAAGGCTTAGCCAACACAAAACTCTTAGACAATGGACATTCTGGCATGAGTAGAGAGGTGCTTGGGCAAGCCAGAAGGCTGCAGAGGCCATACTATATACCAGAGTGGGTCTATATTTGGATAATATATATTTGGAATTCAATACATAGACTGAGAAAGAGAACAGCATTTATATCTACATAGCCCATTTTCTTTAAAAAAAAAAAAATTAAGCAAACCCAGCAATCTTGACTTCCCATGCTGATTCTCAGAGGATTCCAATGGACGTTTCCTCATGATCTTATTCCAGACAAATGGGGCTCTGAGAAGTCATGGACTATGATGCTGAAAGAACCTCAATGAACACTTCTATAACTTGACCATGACCAGTCTAGACCCATCTGTCTCCAGCATCTCTGTCACCTGTGACCTTTCCTAAATCCAAATGCTTAAACTACTCCAACGGCTCCTTTGGGTTCAGGGCAATATTTCCCAAAGTGAGTATCTTCAAACACTAATCCCTTAAGATATCCTATTTTATTTATTTAGTTAGTTAGTTAGTTAGTTTTTTGCAAAATATCGCAGGCTCTATTAGTTTCTTTTGGAATTTCAAACATGCATTGCCCTTTCTATTTTAATGGCTCTCAGAAGTCTTGCAGTAAAGATGGCCAACTGTTTAATCCAAATTTCCAAATTTGACTACGGAAAACATTTTGGATGTAACAACTATTAGTACCCTTTACAATTCACATTTCATAGAGTCTACTTTGGAGGTTTCTTTAGCAAGGCATACTTAGAGCCCTAACACACTGACCTCAACCTACGTTTACAGTCTCTTCCCCTGTTGCTCCCAAACCATGGCACCCACTCCCCTTTTCTAAGCATTTTCTGCACAGTCTACTTGATTATCTATCCAGCAATGTTTTTTACATGCTGACATCTTTGCACATTCTTGTCTGCCTTGAAGGACCAGCTCAAATATAACTTCTTCAAAGTCTTCTCTGACACCTCTTACTCCCTACCCTTCTTTCTTTATACCCCTAGCTCTTGGCTCCCAATTCCATTGTCAAACAGCATTTAACCATCTGCCCCTTCTTCCCAGTGGCTTATGGGTAAGATACTTTTTCTTAGTTACGTTTGTACTTCCACAGTCTAGCATAATGTGTGGCACATAACAATAAACATATGCACTAACAAGCAGGCGAATGGACATAGGTGGCTCACGAAGTGGTTTTTATAACAGACTGCCATTAAATTAATTCTAATGGTTGTAGGTATATGAATTTGCAAAGCAAAGGGAAAAGTCAGTAAACTGACATTCACCTTGTTTTGTCCTCACTATTTACGCCAACTCCACTCCACTGACTCAAACATGTGACTGGATTATGCCGAATGACTTCTAGGAATATCCATGAGACGCTTAGTTAGGGTAGATGGTTAGAGTCAGCAACCTCATGTATGCGCTTAAGTGTTTTTAAAGCTCTCATTATAGATCAGAGGAAAGAGTAATTAAAAGTCAAAGGCACTTTGTGGAGTGAAAAGGACAGTGGAAGATAGGAGAACAGACAGTGAATGCTTGTTTAAGAAATCTTCAGTCTAATTTGGCATCCTTGTCTCCCACAACATTTAACTTCAGCCAGTCACCTAATATGATTCATCATCATCAACTCTTGCACTGTTACTTCGTTAAAGTCAAAATACTGTGTCTTTAAGAGTGTTTTACTCTGTATGTGATGGATCTAAACGCTGAGCTAAGGAAAGAACCATTGATGTCCAGGATCCTGCCCTCACAAGGACAGACAACTATTCCACTGGTATGTTTAACATTCTTTCCTAAGGCAACCAGCCAACAAATATTATTGAACAATTATCATGTGCCAATCCCATGCCAGGAATATAGAGATGATACTTTGTAGCCTCTTTCTAATCTGTGCACTTCTTGGCTCAGGGTCAAGATTCAGGCTCCAACAAACTCTTGTTGGGTTGTTTGGGTGTGCAAGCTATCCTGGATTTTGTTTGTTTGTTTGTTTTCTATCATCATCTCAGTAGTTTAAGATGTTGTGAACACAGAAGACCCCTATCTTTACTACCCTGCCCACGAGGAAGAGGGGAGTAAAACAAACTGCCCGCAAAATGTGAATGCGAGAGAGACTCCTAGAAAGTTACAAGTGGACTATACCACTCTTGGCAATCACAAAAAGCACAACACAGGCTTTGAGATGAATGTCGTGATTCCCCAGCAGCATGGACTTGTTTCTGTGGATGGTGATTCCATCTTCCACTGCCCTATTCACACATGGCTTTATAAAGTAGCTAAGCATATACTGAGTAAGGGACAGGTGGGGCTAGGTAAGGAGAGATAGGTAGGGGACTATGTGACTGGGCTCACATGGGGGCTATGTGTTCAGGCTCACAGAAATCCCAGATGTGGAAAATGCTGAGGCGTACAAAACCAGAAATGAGGAAATATAACGAGACTAATGAGTCTACCTCATTTGTCTTAAATGTCAGAAATATCTCTGTAACAGCTACAGCTGGGCCACTGAAAATTAGCAAACTTCAAAGAAAAAGTAAACATAGTGCCAGCAGTGATAGAGACATCAAGATTCAAGTTCCCCAGTCAGTTCTCAATAAAAGACCACCACTGAAAACCCCCAGTGGCAACCCATTCGGGACCTCTCTCACTTTAGAGAGTTTTTCCCCTCTCCTTTCTGTTCTCACCTTCACTTAATAAACTTTCACTTCACCCTTTTGTATCTCTGAGACTCATTCTTTGACTCCTTGAGACAAGCGTCCTGCTATCTTGTAACAATAGGGCATTTCCCCCTTCTCCATCATGGTGAATTTCAGAATGCTTTCTGACTGTGCTCCAGGAAAGACACATTTAATGCTCATGGCTATTTCCACTTAAAGATGGGATTATTCACAAAGACCCTATTATCTAGCTTTCTATTAAAGATCCGAGAAGGTTGAACATCTCATTTCTTTTCATGTCAGATGTGACTCAGGTATGACAGATACCATTAGCCTCATTGAGAAGCTGGGGCAGAGTGGAGGTGAGTGGTTTTGTGTGGTTAGGCAGTAACAAACCAGGAGAGCCCAATGAGGATTCTTCCCACCAGACTACTAATGAACTAATTGACTAGAGCTGAGAGCGGAGGCTCTGGCTGCTGTAGGACTCCGTTCCCTTCTTTTCCATGGATAGCATTCTCTTCAGTTAATCGGCACTTCCCCATTCTGAATGGGGAGCAAACTGGAAAAGGCATTCACAAACGAAACATGTGCCATCCCGCTCTGAAAGTATAGCTTGGACGAGTACCACATTTGAACATCTTACCTAAGCTGGACCGAGTGTTCGAACGTTCAATTATTGCTCTCTTGCTGGGATTATTTAGGACAGACCTCTTAGCAAGAGAAATGTCAGCTGTCACTCTTGTTATTGATATCCTATGAATAGGAACACAGAATAGAACAAGCCAGTAAAAAAGGTCGTGGGGCTCTCAAGTGATTTATAACCACAGTACTTAATAACCACTCTACATACGGCACTACAATCACAGTATAATAAACATTGGCCACAAGTATTTTAAACAGGCTTTGGCAGGTATTAAAATATAAGCTGGGTAGAATGGAAGAAGGTTTTGACTATTTAACCAAAACCCAAACCCAAACAAAAACCTGTTGTTAAAAATGCAGCTCTTCCTTCACTATTACCTACCTTGCCAAATTCTCTTCATAATGCACACCATACCAGGAGGGAATCAAAACATATGAATAAACCATGCTCTTTTTGGGAAGCAGCAATACAGTTTCCTTTCAATTCACGTTTGATTTGCTCTTGAACAAGACCTCCAGGAACTACGAATGTTCTACCCAGGCATATCAATGCTGCTGGCCAAAGGGGAAAGCCCTCTTCATTTTCATCAGCGACACTCAACCAGTTGGTAGCGATGTTGCATTCCTAGTGCTCAACAGTTACATCATGATACAAGAAGCATTTCCCCCCAGGCCCAAAGAAACCTTTCATTTCTAAGAATATGGAAAATATGGTTTCTCATCTGCATGCACAAGATTCTTTAGTATATTTGCTTAAGACTTTGAATGCATAAAGTGGGGAGCCGTGAGACACTAGAGTTGAGGGCAATATGAGAATTGTGCAAGGATTCTGGTAAGTCAGAAAGTTTCCTGCAGTTACGCAAAAGAATAAAGCACAGACACCACAAATGAACAAAGAGGCGTCTATCTGCCTATGATTGATCCCATAAGGATCTCTGGAATTTACAGTTTTATAGTCCTTTACTTTAAACTGGCATTGATCAATTTCAGATGATTATCTATCTGGAGAATGCAAAGAATGCCACTCTGAGCCACCACTGCCACCACGGACTTTTCTCCACTCTCATTTTCAGTGCTTGGCAGAGTTCTGGAAAGGAGACAAAAGAGTAGTGTCCCTTCCCTTTGTGCTCAGTGCAGCCGTTCTCCTTCGTTTTTATATTCCTTTGGGGGTTGGGGCAGGGGAGAGTTGTAAACAATAGCTGAGCCACCTGTCATCTCACACCTGTTTTGGTATACCATCAGCCCTCTTAGGAGACCCTTTACCTGACTTCAGTGACCCAAAGTCTTAAGGAAAATTTAAAATACTCCTTTTCACAAATGACTGGAAATAGCTTGTTTAAAGCAACAGGCTGTACAAAAGTTCGGATGTCATTTTAACGCAAAGCACCTTCTTATGTCATTATATTGTATTTATAAGCTGTAGATGGTACGTTTTAAATTTTTACATTTTTTAGAATTTTTAAGCACTAATAAATTATTTGAGGCATCTTCAAATTATCTTCTGCAGAAACCAAGGGTTCTGTGAAATACCCCAGGTCACTGAGAACACTGAAGGGAAGCTGAGTTGGCAGAGGGCCAGAGTTCCCTCTGCCCATGCCAGGCAAACACCTCTGCCTTTCTGTTTTCTACATTGGGGCTTTATATATGATTTCATTGTAAAAAGCTGTTCAGCTGCTAAAAGACATTGGAAAACACGGGTCAAGTACAGCTTCTTCATTTTGCCAAGAAAACTGAAACACAGAGGGGAAGTTCCACATGATTAGTGAGAGGCTAAGAAGGCCTAAAACCCAGGCCCCCAAACACCAGGCAGTACTTAGTCACCTGACTCATAAGTCTCTTAGTTTCAGTTTTCTTCTCTAGCAACCCTGCATGCCCAGATGCAAGCCAAATCGTCAAGGGCAGACGCAGTCGACCTTGGCCATGTGCAGAGAGGTGGTCAGGATTTCAGTGAGGTTAAAGTCAAGTGAATCTCATGTCTCAGTCTCCATTACTCAGTTGGCCTTTGCAACCTGAGGTATGGAATCTCACGGGCAGTCCTGTGCTCCCAGCTCTTTAATTTACAGATAGGGTTTGCTTGTTTATTTTTGTGTTTCTGTTTGTCTGTAGTTTTAAGAATAGAGTTGCTGGTTAGAAACATGGAGTCAAGTTCCAGAGCAAATCAAATCTATGACTGGAGAGAAGTGGGTTAATTTAGGAACAGAATTCAACTTTCTAGAATAAAGACTTTTGGAGGGCCTAAAATGTTTGTTCTGCATAAGGGAGATCAAGTTTGCTAGTTCTCTATAAGCCAAATAGTAACCTTTGTTTCTTAAAGTTTCAAAGGATTACCAACAGGCGCATACTCTTATTTTTTTCTGGATTTTAAACATGTTTACAAAGCTATTTTCAAACACACACAGAGTTTTAAAAGTTTTTACAAGTTCTACAAAAAAGCAGACAAACAAACAATACACACATACACAGAAAAAAAAACTGCTTCGTGTATTTCACAAATAGGAAAAGGTATGGGTAATAAGGTTCTTTTTCTTGTTTTATTTGTCAACAAAACACCAACAAATTTGTTAATCTAAGTTATTTCTCAAATATATTTTTTAAAAGGATTTATTTATTTATTTTAGAGACTGGGGAGGGGGGTGGCAGGGAGCGGGAGAGAGAGAATCCCCAAATGGATTCCCCACCAAGCATGGATCCCATTGCGGGGCTCGATCCCAAGACCCCCACTGAGATCACAACCTGAGTAGAAAACAAGATTTGGCCACTTGGCATGTATTATTACAAGTTATTTCTTAGTAACAGTATACATGCATGCATGGAAGAGCTCAGGACAAGACAGACACTGCCCCAGAAACCTTTCAATAAGACAAAAGAGAGGCTTCTATTTTCCGTACAAAGATGCTTACTATTACCAAAATCAGACACCAAATCCAAACTATTTTTTGTAAAAGGCTTCCTAGCAATACAATTGAAGTTTATATACTTTTTAAAGTTTTATATACTTTAAAAATATATTTTGTATACTAGTTATATATTTACTATTATTTTTTTTTCTTAGAACAATGCCCTTTCTACTTCTTTTCTTGCCGTACTCATTCCCCCCAGTGTCTTTCAGTACTTCCATGCATCTTATTTGAGATACATCTTTTAAAAGTTCCCTAGGAAACTTTTCCGTGACAGTGTCAGTGATTGCTGACTGGTAGGTAAACACTAACAGAAGTTCAGTTCCTCAGCGGACTGGTAGTAGCAAATGTCACTGAAAACTAGCAAAAACTGTTCTCTGAATCTAAGCAAATCTGAATCCCATTTATTCTTTATTTCTGTTTTGGAATTCATCATAATTGCTGTCATCTATCATGACCAATGAGTATTAGTTTTCTGCAAAAGATGCTACTTTTAGTTATAACTCATTCATTCAAAAACAATTAGTATTTCCATGTTCATTCAGAACAGCTAACCAGGTCCTTCTGTACTCTATCTTTGCTACATCTAATATGCAATGCTGCTAGTGCATTAATTTAAAAAAAAAAAAAAACAACTACTAGTATTCATAGATAAGACCATGCCAAAGAACAGAGCAGTACACTGTCAAGAGAATTGGGATGGAGAGCCTACACAGATCTGAGTGTTCTCCCTGGATCTTCTCTTCTCCTTTTTTTTTTTTTTTTTTAAGATTTTATTTATTTGACACGCAGAGAGAGAAATCACAAGTAGGCAGAGAGGCAGGCAGAAGAGAGGGGGAAGCAGGCTCGCCGCTGAGCAGATAGCCCGATATGGGGCTCGATCCCAGGACCCTGAGATCATGACCTGAGCCGAAGGCAGAGGCTTAACCCACTGAGCCACCCAGGTGCCCTGGATCTTGCTCTTCTTGCTGGGTGTGTGACCATAAACAAGTCATGTCATCTTTCGAGCATCAGTATGCTAATCAATACAATGGTGATGACGGCTTTGCCAAACTTTCTCACGGGACTGTCAGTGGGAGCAAACAAGGTAATATATAAAAGTGCTTTGCTAAATAATTATTCATAATGTCCTATGTTGATTGGCACATACAAAATGTTTATAAGATAGTTATTGGAGATTTAAAGACTAGAAGAGGACAGTTTCTTTATATCCTATCCTTAGAAATTAGCAGTTGACCATGAACTCTCCTATCCCCAGAATCCATGAAATTTATATATACTTTGGGGGTGAGAGAATCAGGTCAGACAGGTTATAATCACGACCTGCTAATTTAAATTTTCATGTTTGGCATTCAAGTGTTCAATTACATGTCTCTAGTGTTTGACCCCTGATGAGTTTGCATTTAAAGAAAAAATGGTAGAAGGAGATGATAAGAGGGTGATACTGATTTTGAAACAGAAGGCGCAGTGGTGTTTTTTTTCCATTTGTTGACTGCAGTTACAAGTTGTTTTCATTCTGCCATGCCTTGGGTGCTGTGTGATACCATCAAGGGTGCCCACTGCTGTTTATAAATAAATACTACCTCTCTGAGTCTCTGAAGTTGTATCCTCAGCCTGTTTTCTTCAAATTCTTTCTTAGACCCTTTTTTTCCTTTGAGTAGCCTTTGGCTAACAACTTCCTTTAACTTTAGATCTTATCTATACAGGCTACAGGATGTTCGTTTAAGATTTTTGGCCATGACCATGTCTATTACAAAGCGTTGCACAACTGCCAGAGAGAGGACCTGGCTGTCAAAATGCATAAAGCAACAATTCATTGGAATTTGAAATGATTAGTCTAGGACCACAAATGGCAGTTGGTTTGACTGCCTGTTGTTCAGACTATGGTATATTCAACCAGCTGAACACACCTCTTCCCGAAGGATGATCCCCCGTGAATGCTGGTGGTGTAAAATGAAGAGCGAAAAGCTCCATGTCACGTTGCGTCCTGGGTGTTCAGCAGGCTGACGCCACTGCGCCAGCTGGTTAGGCTCACCCAATTTATGACTGTGCCTAGGAACTGCCAATACGTGTGGATATCCACATGGACAAAGACCCCCCAGGCACTAGTTTGTCCTATGCTTTTCGTTTTTCTTACATATATCACAGGTAAGCCCTACAGTAGCAGCCACAGCAATAAACCTGTAATAAGTAGCTCTCAACAGACTCAAATAATTTGAGGTATTAAAAAAAGGGTAAGTCTATGATTTTGTAACCATCAAGCTGTTGGACTTGGATCCAGTTTGTTGACTTATTTTCAAACCAGGATCTGAAAAACAGTACTGAACAGAGCCTCTTAGCCAATGGATCCCTTTTTGGCTCTTTCTGAAAAATAAGACTTTCCCTTGACTCTTTGGTCTAACCATCATAGCCAATTAAACATGGAGTAGGTTTCCACCAGAACATACTGTTTATGCTATATCACTGTGCTAAAGCCTTCTGTGTAATTGTTCTCTTGGCTGATTTCAGTTAAAGACTATTTGTTGTTTTCTCTCCCTTTATTAATTGGTAAAACATAATACGGCAGATTGTCATAGCTCAGAATGTAAGGTTATTTCCCACACAGCAGATGTGTTGGAGGGAGGGTGAGGCTACAAGCCTGTTGCTTCTTCCTTATCAAAGTCTCTACATACTCCCAGCTAATGAATTCATTACTGCTTTTTTCTGTTGCACTGGCCTCTTATTATTTGAAAGCAAGTCCACTCTGCTACTCCCAACTTTACCATCTATCTTTTCCAAACACTGCCATAAATCAGAGCTCTCCAGTGCCAAGTCTCTCTCTCTGGCTATTCCTTTTGCGGCTGTTTGAATCCTCCCCCTATCTCCGGATCCTCGGCTGTGCTATCAGACCGTATGGAACACTTGGCATTGACATTTTAATTCTATTTCTACTAAAACCATCTTCAATAGTGTGTGTAAATGCTTGATGCAGCAACTCTAGCCGACTCAGAACAAATCTTTCCTGTTACCACCAAATGCACTTCCTCTTTCTGGGGCTGAAAATTGAAGAAAAACCTCAGATGCTTCATTCTTGAAAACAATCAAGCCACTCACTTTCTCTTTGTTAAATTTTAATAGTTCCCTCCTTCTATTCCCATAGGTCCTACCTTTCAGACTGTTAAAAATATTGTTGTTTATAAGGATGCTATGTGGTGACAGAAACAACGTGATGCAAACAGGCTGTGTTATGGGAAGGAATTTGTTCAGCTGGAGGGCTATTATGGGGTCGCCTGATGAGGCACTGCTCAGAACTTCCTGAGGTAAAGACACCACAGGTTAAAACCACACAACTTTAAGCATAGGTAGAGAAAGTATGTGTGTGTGTGTGTGTGTGTGGCCAATAACAAAGAAGATGAAGCCATGCATGTTAGCTGCCTCCAACACACAGATTGCTGCATGAAGGTAAGGGTTATGGCCCAGTCATTAGCAAGCAAGATCAAGGCTACTACTATCAAGTTAAAGAATCAGAGTTCAGCCGTTCTTTGCAATGCTTTTTCAAGAAGTGAAACCCCAATTACCAAACATGCTCAAACCAAAGCAGTTTATCCATCTGTTTGTGGTTGCTGAAGAAAAGAGATTACATATGATCTCACTGATATGAGGAATTTGAGAAACAAGACAGAGGATCATAGGGGAAGAGAGGAAAAAATGAAACAAGATGAAACCAGAGAGGGAGACAAACCGTAAGAGACTTTTAATCTCAGGAAGCAAACTGAGCATTGCTGGAGGGGAAGGGGATGGGATGGAGAGGGTGGCTGGGTGATGGACATTGGGGAGGGTATGTGCTATGGGGAGTGCTGTGAAGTGTGTAAGACTGATGAATCACAGACTTGTACCCCTGGGGCAAATAATACATTCTATGTTAATTAAAAAAAAGAAAAGCGATTACAATAAAAGAACTCTTATATTTCCTTCCAACTCTAATATTTAGTGCTTTTTATTGTTTTGTTTGGAACTCTTTCATCCTCTGCCTATTTTCTTTAAAAAAAAGGAAGGGGGGAGGAGGAAGAACAGGTTAAACCCACGGCTTTCTTAGTAAGTGCTTTGTGTCCACTAGATGAACGTGGCAGAGACTGTTCAACAAAATCTATTTCCAACTCCTCCTGGCCACATAGTTAGACTACATTTCCCAGCGTACTTTGCAACTCAGCATGGCCACATGACCGGGTTCTGACCAATGAAAAGTGAGGATCCGTGTGCGTCAGCTCCAGGCTGGCGCGCACCTCTTCCCACCCACCGACTAGACAGACCACCCTCAGGCCAAGGATGCCAAATGATGGGTGAGACAAACTTTCTGTCCATCCTCCCCTCCCGAGTATAACCCCCTCTGCCGAGCTGAGGAACGCCTGCTTCAAACTGGTAAACGAGCAACAGTTAAGATCCCACTGGGTCTGAATCATTACACATTTTGGGGTCTATTTATGAAGGCAGCCTGGCATTCTACTAATGTACCCGGCCATTCACATAACGGCACTGAAGCATTCTCATTCCTTGAACTAAAATCTCAACGACTGGAACCAAAATTTTCAGTTTCTTTGTATGTAGTCCCAGAAACTAATGAATATTTTAAACACAATTACCCAGAAGGCTTTTCTTTTGACAAATATATACAGTTTGTGCTTAAAGCATTATTAGGTTTACTTTTCTCCTTAAAATACCATATTTTTTAAAAACCTATTTGAAGCTATTTTTAAAAGTATTTGGTAAGTTGGATGCATGTACCCATACTTCTCGGTACACACTATGTACATTTTCTTCATTTCTAGTAAGTCTTCAGAATTTGCAATGTGGTTATTTTATAAGAGTGCATTCTGCATTGTGAAGGAGCTCAGTACTTAGTATTGAGTCAAGATGAGCTTTTTACCATTTCTCTGCAAAACACAGAAACTGTTTCAGACATTTTTCACAAAACTTAAATGATAAAATTATTTGAGGGCTAAAGACTGAGCTGTGGGGGCGCCCGGGTGGCTCAGTGGGTTAAGCCGCTGCCTTCAGCTCAGGTCATGATCTCAGAGTCCTGGGATCGAGCCCCGCATTGGGCTCTCTGCTCAGCAGGGAGCCTGCTTCCTCCTCTCTCTCTGCCTGCCTCTCTGCCTGCTTGTGATCTCTCTCTGTCAAATAAATAAATAAAATCTTTAAAAAAAAAAAAAAAAGACTGAGCTGTGTTAGTCATAGGGTACATACAAAATAAACCAATAAAATACAAGGTGATTTATTGGTAAAATAAACCCAGAACTAAGCATCCAAACAAGTATTATTCCCTACAAATAGTCACTCTGGGAAGCTTATGGTGAAAACACTTCTTGCACTTTTCTCGTGAGGAAACTCAGTACTTTATACCTTCGTATGTACACACACGCGCGCACACACACAAACACATGCAGGCACAGTTCCCAAGTATTATTACCAGCTTCACCAGTGAGCCACCACATTTATCAGAAATAGTCTATATTTTCATTAATATTTTTCATAAAATAAGTTGGTATGAATTCACTAACAATCAAGGAAATAAAGACAAACACATACATTTAATATAAAACAAATGGATTATTTTCCTTCTCAAGGTCCTTTCTCCCTTGGGGATTCAATTCTATACTTCATAACTTCATATCTTCAGAATTCTTTCATTGTATTCTTCCCTGAATACTGAGTTAAGTTTTAATTAGAGAACTTCTGCAATCACTGGAAACAGATCCACAAATCAATTTATATCATACATGTTCAGTTAAAGGAAAATAAAAATACAAAAACATCTGTATGTCTCACCTCCCATCAAACCTGTGCTTCAGGAAATCAAAGAGGGCTTTCTGCATCATGTCTGTTACCTTTGCAGAGGTGAGAAAAAAAGAATGAGGCAAACACACGCAGAGACAGAGACAGAGAGAGAGAAGTCAAAGGTGAGAGAGGTGGAAGGGAAGGGCACTTTGAGCAAAGACCTTACACAGCCTGTTGTCTCCAAAGGATAGGTTACAGTGGAAGGTATTTTCATGCTTAACCACTTCCAGTTACTCAAATTTCCCCCATGGCTGTCCTCTAGGGTGTTGAGGAATGAACCAGCAGTGTTCACTAGACCCAAGGCTGACCCCCTTCCCTTCTTAGGTGACAGAACTGCAGCCAAGAGACCACAATGGGCTGCCTTTGCTGCCTGTTCTTGTCTCCCCTGAGTGGCACTTGCTTCCAGCGTGGAGCAGAGCAACTCCGGCCAGCCCTGGACTCCGCCACCCCACTGCTGGTAGAAATTTTCCATTTCTACAGATCACTCTCCTACTCTTCCTCTGATGTTCTCCACTGAGAGGGAAAAAGGAAGGGGAGAAGAGGGAGGGAGACAGGCAGGGGGAAGGAGAAGGGAATTGGATTCTTAGATCTGCCTTAAAGAGATTCATTAATTCATTCCATCAGTGAGTATTAAGAAACTACTATGGGCCAGATATTGTCCTAGCTCAGTGGGAATGGTACCCTGGAGGTTGCCCACCTTCAGATTTTAATGTTCCACCCCACCCATTCTTATCTATGCTAGCAGAGTCAGAATGGCAACATCTGAAATGTAGGGCATCTAAGTCCTTACTCTTTTTTTTTTAACGTGGTGATGTTTAATCTCTAAACAAGTTCATTAATACTTTCAGTGGAGGTTTTTTCCTTCTGTGTCCTTAAAATAAATAAGCAGAGAAATATTTTGTGGGATAGACCATCATCTTGAACACCCAGCAAGGTGAGATTTGTTGGTGCTTTGGGGGTTTAGGTTTGCTAGCACGTGTTCTCTTTGTGATGTTTATACTCCGTTATTTCTTTGTTTTTTATTTTTATTTTTTTAAGTAAGCTCTATGCCCAACATGGGGCTTGAACTCATGACCTTGAGATCAAGAGTTGCATGCTCTACCACTGAGCCAGCCAGGTCCCCCATAATTGGTTATTTCTAACAGTAATGGGAATGGTTGAGATAGATAATTTCCTTCACTTTGAATTTAATGCAGGGCAAACAGCTGACCAGAACTTTCCATTATAGATGTTTTAAGGGATATATTTCTAAACAAAAAGATACATATAAAGTGAGAAGTGTGCCAGAGAAGGAAGCAAGAGCGAAGGGTCACAAAAGCCCCACACTGCTCCACACGTCTTCACAGGAGGGGAGCTGCCTCCTTCAGTACCATTATGTGAGCAGACCCTGGAGGGCCAAGCGCCCAACAGCTGTCTCCTAGTGTCTTGGTCAACAACTGAAGCATAACAGACTGGTATTTGTACCTCATAACCCTTCAGTGACGGCCCCACCAACACCACCGGACGCATGGATGGCACAACATCGTAAGGAGGAATGTGCTCCGTCTGAAAAAGATGATTTGACAGGTGTGACAAGGTAAGGCTCAGCACACCTCCTCAACAGCCACAGCATTCATAATTCTCAGGTCAAACGAGAAATGGTTACCACAGGTCCCCACCAAGGAGGCTCATCCCTTATTCTATAGCCATTTGGGTCACTGAAATGGAGCAATGCAGGCATGTATGGATAGAAACCTTAGCAGTAGATTTAAAAAGAAACACAACTTACCACTTTTTGCTTCTGTTTTGCTAAAAGACAACAATGAGAGCCATATCAAAATACGTAATCTCTGTAAATGATAGTACATGATTTTAAAAGATGGAAGAATGTACCAATTTGTCCCTATAATTCTCATCATCTCACAATTACCCACTCTGCAGAGCATAACTCTATTATATCATTCTGGACAAGACAATTTTGAAGAAAAATGAGAAAAATGAGACAATTTCCTTCTTGTGCAAATGACCTCATCCTGATTTCATGTTGGGTGTGGAGGGTGGACTTCAAAACAACACCGGAAGTTCTGGGCCAGCCATGGGCCATAGGATGTTCCCTGCTGGACACAGCACACAATGTAGCTGAGAACAACGTGGACAAATAAAATTTCATAAAAAGGAACTAAGAATAACAATTTGGGTAAAAATGATCCTCATTTCAATCACTAGTTATTTTTGGATTTGTCATTTTGATGAACCATGAGAAAATTTTGCAGTCCTTTATATGTTTGTAAATTTTCTGCCCACTTTCTAGGATATTGACACATTTTTCCTACTATGTTGTTGTTAATTTCAAATAAATTTATAACCGGTTATTCCTGTTCTTTCTTGTTTGTAATAGTGCAAAACTGCAATGACCTAAATGTCCAAAAATGGGGATGAGCCAAAACATTTTGATATCTGATTCAACTAGTTTTGTGGTCATCCAAGAAGGTCCAGTCCATTTGGGGACAACCAGAGACCTAGTTCAGTTCAGAGACTGGGAGATCAGAAAGGATCCACACCAAGAACCCAGTACTCAGAACTACTCCAGAGCCAATCACGTGTACCGCAGTTATGGTAGGCCAGGATGGACCTTGAACTTGTCCTTCTGAGTTGGTGATACCAGATGCCCTAATGCAGCATCAATTCTGGGCCAGCATCAATTTGACTACAGGAGTCAGGGAATGTGGTAGAAAAATAATTCTACCTGCTTGAATACCTCCCTAATTACCAAATATGTAGCAACTCCTGACTGGGTCACCACTGTCCCTTCATTTCCATTAATTCCAGGGCTCGGTTATCTGCTGTCCAAATAGAAATGAGGTCGTCCGGGCCCATTCTCTGCTTCAAACCTCCCAATCTCTAAAACCCAGGCTGTACCATCCTAAAGTTCCCCGTGGAGACTGGAACAGAGCATTTTCTTGAGAGTCTACAACTTTTTTTTTTCCTTTTTAATTGGCCTTCACCATCTTAATGCCTGGTAGGTTCTTGGGTGGAATAATGAACTTCCTTCAGATTAAATTGCACAATGGATAGTTACTGGCTCTGGGGGGTAAATAAGATTTTTCAAAATTATATTATAATTATCTGAATTTTTAGTATCATAAGTACCCTTTAAATAGAACCAAATTACTATAGAAAGCAAATGAGCAATGAAATATTAAGTAGAAGACTCTTTTAAATCAAGACTCAAAATCATTTCCAAATTGGTAAAAAATACTTTCTCTATGTTCAAATACTATGATAGAAAAGTGTTCCATTAAAAAGAGTTAAGCTAAAACCCTCACCTGTTGATGTGGGTGTTGCTCGAAATGTCCCTGATACCATTTCTCCAAGACTTGAAGAAGAGTTTCCACTGGATTTCCTAGGATATAGAAAAGGAACTTAGGACTCATTCCCCAGATTCCTTACAAATAGAACTTGAGAGTACAAAGCTTTCTTTGGCCTAAATCCTACTAAATAATTCAAAGCACATCAAATCCTGCTTTGGAGAAGAACTTCGAGAATCTGTCCAAATGTTTTCTTTGACCTATTTCTCAGAGAAGGTGGGGAACTAACTGGGACCCAGAAACACTTTGCAAAAATATCTTAGTTTTTCAGTGCAGAAATTGGGCAGAAAAATCCAGAGTAGAACTACTCTTGTGAACCACGGCTTAAATAATACTGGTCACCAGTTGGCTGCACAAGTTGAATATCAAACATAGCTCAAACAAGCTTAAGAGCCAGAAGAAGCATTTCTTTTTAAAAAGTGAGTATATGGGAGTCAGAATTAAGAAAAGATGGCAATAATATAATAATATTATTTGTGACCTAGAATGGAAGAGTGTTCCATTGGTCTCCTCGTGTGGTTTTGGAAGCTTCCCAGGAACCCAAAGAGGCCCTTGGGAGCCTACCTTCCTACTTCCCCAGTGTTCTTCCCTCTCAGTGCTTGAGAGTATGGTCCCTAGGTCAGAACAATCTCATTTCTTATCCTGGTTTTGTCATTTACTAGTTGCAAGACCTTGGCATATCAAATTTCATGTCTTTGAGCCTTAGTTTTCCTATCTATAGAAGTTATACCTCATAGGGTTGGTGTAAAGAAAAAAGAAGAACACGTCTGTGAGCTCTTGGTTTTACTCTTAGTTCAAGAGTACATAATAACATTATTGTTTTTAAATATTTTATTCATTTATTTTAGACAAGAGAGAGCAGGAGCAGGGGTAGGGACAGAGGGAGAGAGAGAATCTCAAGCAGGCTCCCAACGCTGGCCTTGATCTCATGACCCCAAAATCATCACCTGACCCAAAATCAAGAGTCAGACACTTAACTGACTGAGCCACCCAGGCTCCCCAGTATATAATAACATTATAAAATAATAATAATAATAATAATAATAAAATAGCAACTTTGGAAATGGTAATAAATAGTAATAATACATTTATTATTTCATTCAACAAATATTTTTTGAGTATCCATTATTCTAAAATCCAGGAATACAAGAGTGGGGGAAAAGACAAAATCCCTTCCTTACAGAGAAAGATTTTAGTAAGAGATATCACTATCAAATAGATGAACAGGTAAATACATAGTATTTCTAAGAATAATAAGTGCAAAGGAGAAAATTAAATCAGGAGAAAGATAGGAAGTAAAGGAAGGGAAATGGGTACAATTTTAAAGATGGTGTCTGGAAAGGTGATATTTAACAAAGATCTGAAGCAGATGAAGGAGTGAGCTGGTGGAAATATGAAGAAAAAGGTCCCAGCAAGAAGAAATTAAGAAGTGCAAAGGTCCTGGGGTAGGAAGGTGTGTTCCTGATTTGTTTAAGGAGCAGCAATAGAGATTAACAGTCAAGAGGAGGAAATAAGAGGAATTAATAATTAATAATATTGTAGGCATGTTATATACTAAAAAAGATTGGTAATTAAAAGTTAGGCTGGGGCACCTGAATGGATCAGTCAGTTAAGTGTCTCTTGATCTCAGCTCAGGTCTTGATCTCAGGGTTATGAGTTTAAGCCCCACATTGGGCTCCATGCTGAGTGTGGAGCCCACTTTAAAAAAATTAAAAAATAAAGAATTAAAATAAAAAAGGAGTGGGGCTAACTGTACTTTTGGGATGTGTTATCACTATTTCAGAAGTTCCCTTTAAGACAAAGGCAAAAGTGTCCCTAAAGAACAGCAGAATTTCTGAAGCAGAAAAGGATCCAATAGAAAAAGGAAGTTGAGAGTCAAGAGACACAACTGCTTCTATGTTAGACCTTTCAAAAAATGGTAACACATGTCAAATTCATGCCTCAGCGTAGGTTCACAATATACACAGGCTCGGTATGATTCTGATTTCTCTTTTCTCAGGTTTTGCATGTATCCCTGGGACTTACGAACACCAGCACTCTGAGATTTTTGTGGCTGTTTCATTAGTTCACTAGAGGTTGATTCACCCAAAGTTAGATGGTGTCTCCATCCCTTTACCAAGAGATGACATATGCTCTGAGTGGAGAAAGGGGTTTCTGGTCCTGGGACAATAGCATGGGTACCATTGTATTCCCTGCCCACTTGAGGGGGGTGGTCTCTGTGAGAGTTAACCAGGAAGGGCCCTGATGCCAGGTCAGGCCAGGTTCCCACCTGCACTGACAAAGGCCCCATGTGACTCTCGTGGAGGAGAGCTTCGTTTCCAAGGAAGATTTGTTGAGGCCACAGAAAAGTCTTCACTGTGGAATTAATGTTGATGCCCACGATTTGAGGCTCGAGCATTTCAGAGTGAAATCTCTGAAACCCCTCTGTGTCAATTTCAGAAACACCTCATACCCAGGAAAGTACCTTTCCTCAGAAAGCATACATTTTTAAGCTAATAAGCAAACTTGAAAATATCATCTTATTCTTCTACCCACCTCCCCAAAATAAGTGCATAGAAACGAAGGAGCCTTACCCTCCGTGAAAACGTCCCCTTTTTTGTTCTTGCTGAATCCGTATGTTCTCCAGTCTAAGAGGACTAGGGATGAAGCCAATCTCACAGCCCTCTTTCACCAGCCTTCCTATCCACCAATCATTGTTATATTTCTGGAATGCAGATATAAAACTGCTATCAGTAGTAATTCACTTATCTTCACATCCCATTGATTAATTTCTGAGGACCAGAAGAGCCACTGTTTATAATATACTATATTGCATATAAACACAATTTATATTATGTCATACTATGTTATATATGTCTAAGTGTCCATAGACTAAAGCCAAAGTCTGCAAACTTTTCACCTAAAGGCCCAGATAGTAAATATTTTAGGTTTTGCAGGCCTCATGGTCTCTGTTGCAGCTTCTTAAGTCTACTATTGTCACATGCACAAGGCCGTAGATAATTCGTAAGCAAGTAAGCGTGCTGTGTTTCAGCTAACATTTTCTTTATCAAAAAGACTTCGGGCTGGAATCAGCCTGCACGCAACAGTTTGCCAATCCCTGAACTAAAGTTGGGTCCTAACCTTTGGATTCCTTTAGTCCTTATGAAGAAGCCCCAACCAATTCTTAAGAAATAGATTTTGGAGGGATATCTATGCATCAGTGTAATTGGAACCCTGGAGAACAAGACAGACAAATCTGAGATGAAATACATTCAACTGTCCGTTACTGTCAAAAGCTTTCAGGTAAAGATTCTGGGATATTGTCTGTAATCTACTCTCATTAGAGAACTGTAATCTTCTAAACATAGGTTTACATATTCAGATCCATCTCATTACCTGATAAAAAAGAAGTCTACTCTTACAAAGGCTAAACATATTGTATATATGTGGAGTTTTTGAAATAATCTCCAAATGGCCTGAAGTCCAATAGGAACACCAGGATTTCCATTTACATGGAAAGTTCCATGACACGTAAAATCAGAAAATTAACCCACACAAAGGCTTCCAACAGTATGAGGTAAGGCTCTGTGAACACGATCCTATTTAGTGGGTGAGCAAAGTTGTATTTGTAATTACGGATTTGCCAAAGCCTAGATCAGAAGGCATATTTAATCCAAGCCACCTGCCTCAAGGGAAGGTTTCAGGTAGGTGATTTTTAGAAAGCAGGTATCAGTCCTATTGTTCCTATCCTCCAGAGATAGTGCCAAAAACTTTGTCTTCATCAGTGTTGTGTTGGGCAAGGCTCCCTCTCTGTTTGATCCCAAAAGTATCTGGTTTATTTTTCAAAATGAAAAACTATATGTAATACACTTTGCTTAGCTCAGAGAAAAGTGAAATTTATGACGATGACACATTGTGAAGGAGAAATGGATGGTTTCATTAACTCACTGCAGCATAGCCGTGAGTAATTTGCAACATCAACCTCATACTCAAAAGCAAAATGGGATGGCTTAGGGATCTGGCCTTTATATGCACACAGCTCCTGCACGAGGCATGCATGGTACATAGTGTGAGATGGCATTTCAGGAATGTGGGTTGAGGGGGACACCTGGGCAGCTCAGTGGGTTTAGCATCTGCCTTCAGCTCAGGTCCTGATCCCAGGGTCCTGGGATGGAGTCCTCCCTGCTCAGCGGGGAGCCTGCTTCTCCCTCTCCCACAGGCTGCCACTCCCCTTGCTTCCCCTGCTTGTTCTCTCTCTCTCTGACAAATAAATAAATCAATTCTTAAAAAAAGAAAAGAAAAGTAAAGAAAGAAATGTGAGTTGACCTAATATAAAATCTTGCACAATCAAAGTCTTGATTCTTCCTATCTTTCCATTCTGTATTTCAGGATAACAAGCTTGAAATAATAGGCCTGTTTATTCTGGAATCAACAAAAGGCAAGGAGGCCCTTTTAGAATCTTTGGTGCACAGGTCTGGAATGTAAATCTTTGAGTGGTGGGGACAAAGCAGGCTATGAGTCAGAGTGTCGTAGGGTTTAAGTTACTTCCTGAACCATAAGTTAGCCTGCGGGAACACTCATTTATTAAACGGTACCCAAGCGACCTCAAAGGGCTTCTAGAAATGGTTCATGGCAACTTGCCAATCTGTTTTAGCTTCCTCGTAGGAAGCAGCTAAAGTTCAGTGAGTATCTGGCTCCACGTAAATGAAAAAGTTCTCTGAGCCACCGGAAATTGCCACATAGATTCAAGAGCTCCACACTCATGTCATTTGGTGAATGTGATAAGCAGAGCTGACGTTTTTCTCTGCGTTTAAGCTTCTCATTACTGAGAAAGTGCTTGAAGCTGTGCATTAGAGATAGTCTGGATGACAGATGAGATGAGAGGCGACAAGACTACAGAAGTGCGTTCCTCTAGCGACGCTCCAGAAGCGTGAGCGAGGGGTTCTGGGACGGTCACCTCAGTGTTGCTCCATTTCTTCTCATTCCATTTCCCTAACATGATTAGCACTTTCTCCAAGTGCTAAGTGCTAAGAGAACACTCTCAGATATGTTCTTAGCAGATATTTCAAGATCTGAAAACAAGTGACTCTAACCTATGCCGGATTACCAGCTCAATTCCGTACATCAAACTGCTGGTCTTGAAGAGAAAGTCACTGAGCAAGGAATGTATAAATCAAAAAGCAACCAAGAGGACAAGTTGGGAATATTGATAGAATGGAAGAAAGCAATAATATACAGCAAGGCTGGAATGTGGGTGTGAGGGGGTGTGCATAAAATATGTGAGAGCTTCTCTTACCTTTTAAAGTTCTGCTTCTCCTTGGAAACAATGGGTGTTACCGACTAATGAATAGGGTTTGGTCATTTTTGATGGAAACGGTGAGATAATCCACTTAACTGTTCAGATGGTGGGACACATGTTTCAGGCTCCATGTCCTTGCCCACCAGGCAAATGTGGATATCCTCACCTCATGCACTTTTAGAACGTGGAAATCATCAAGTCAGTGCTACCCCAGCTTCCTGTTAGCAAGGCTCTGAACCGTGGGTGTCTGCACCCATCCTCTCTCTGCACATTACGATGAGTAAGTGGTCCCCTTCCAATAAAAAAATCTCACCCCCCCCAACTTGGGAGTCTGGATCCCACCCTTTTTGCCTACTCAAAAACTATATTCCTTTGCCTATCTTTCCTTTCCCATCAACCTCTCCCTCTCTCCGTCTGTTAGTATCAGCTTGTGTAGGTGCTCCATGAGCTCCTGTCTTAAAAGAAAACCTTTGACTTCATATCCTCCTCAGTCTACTACCTGGTCAGTGTCAACCTCCTTGAAAGCATACTCTATGCTTGCTAAACATTCCTAACTCCCTTTCTCTCCTCATCCCCCTTCACTTGGCTTCCAGACAATTGTCCCAATGACTTCCGTGCTGTTGACCACCGTGTTGCCAACCCAATGTCCATTTCTCACTGCTTATCTTAGGGGACATGTCACAGCATTTGCCACAGCTGACTGCTTCCTCCTTTGGGACACACTCCTCATTTGATGCCCACGCATCGCTCTGTCCTGGTTTTCCTCCTATATCTCAGATTTCTCCTGTTCCCTCTCCTTATTTGTTGAGTCACTTCATGTAGCCCACCTCTGCAGGATGGAATCCCTTCAGGTTTGATGTCAGGGTGCCTTCTCTTCTCCCTCTCCTCCCTCTTTAGGTGACATCGATCATTATCACAGCTTTAAATGCCACATATAAACTGATGACCTAAATTGACATCTTTGGCCCAACCCTTTCCTCAAAGTTCCAGATTCTTATATCTAACTTCTACCTGATATGTCCTTTGAGATGTCCCCTTCCATCTGTCCTTTTCCCACCTTAGTCTTCTCCATCTCCATTGCTCAGTTCACAAACCTTGATTTCCCTGGTCATGTGTGATTTCTCCCTCACTCTTAGTTTCTTGACCTGGTCTACCACCACTGCCCTTCACTAAAGCGTGCAATAGGTCTCAAATTTGTCTACTTCTTTCCATCTTGCTGCTGCCATGCTGGCTCAATTCCATCAGAATGGTTCTAATGGTCTCCCTGATTCCATACTTATCCCACCCCAATCCATGGTCTCTAAAACAATCAGAGTAGCCTTTAAAAAAATAATAAATTCATCCCACTCCTTTGCTTTTTAAAGTCTTCAATGGCTTCTTATTATACTCAGAATAAAATCTAAAGTCTCATCGTCACTTTAAGGTCCTCTTTGACCTGTGTCCTCCTTACTTCTATGACTGTGTCCTGCTACTAGGTCCCCGACTCACCGCATTATAGCCATATGGCCTTCTTCTAGTTAACTGATTATGCCAAGCTTTTCTCCTATCGCAGGGCCTTTGCACGTGGTGTTTCCTTTCCCTTGAAGACCTCCTGTTGCTCTTTTTTTTTTTTTAAAGATTTTATTTATTTATTTGACAGACAGCGATCACAAGTAGGCAGAGAGGCAGGCAGAGAGAGGAGGAAGCAGGCTCCCCGCTGAGCAGAGAGCCTGATGCGGGGCTCGATCCCAGGACCCTAAGATCATGACCTGAGCCAAAAGCATAGGCTTTAACCCACTGAGCCACCCAGGCGCCCCCTCTTGCTCTTTTTAAGGTTGGCTCCTCTTCATCTTTCAGGTGTCTACTTAAAGGTCACCTTGTTCAAAAGGCCTTGTTTGATCACCCCGTATTTAAAAGTATATATAACATCTTCATCCCAAGGTTTTAAGTTTTTTAGCTTCTGCTTCATTTTTCCCCCAAAGCATTCACAATTTGGAATTATTTTTATTTGTTCGTGATCTGTCTCCCCACAAGAATTTCAGTCCATGAGGGGAGAGAATCTGTCTGCTTTGTTTATGGCTATCAGACAACATCTGCCACGGCCTGGCACAAACTTGAACACAAGTGGTCAAGAGCGGTATCTTGAAGGAGTACTTGAACAAAGGAACACAGAACTTCACCCAGCTCACATGGGCACAATGCAAAGACAGACATCTGTAGACATCCCGATGTTTGACCTACTTGCTATCAAGTGGCTAAAGTGTTAAAACTATGTATATGTCTCGGCATCACTAATGCCAATGCAGCTCGCAGGGCTTCAAAGACAATGACTTGCAAAACTGCTGTATATTTACCACTTACACCTCATTTTAGACTGGGGATAAGTGCAGGTATTTCAGAGAGGTGCAGTGATTGCTTTTACTGACCACACTGCTTCAGATTTCACTTTACTGTCCCATTCTATTTTTTTGAGGGGCCTGGGGGCATGCCTACCTGCCAGTGTATGCCTCCAGCCCCATCGGGAACTTCTGTGCAGAACAAAGCAGGCAAGACTGTACTCCTGACTTGGCCCCATTCTTGTGCCCATCCTCCAGATACCATCCTTCCCCTCTACCGCAGCCCTTCACTCAATCAGCGATCCTTCCAATAGAGTTCACTAGGTTCAACATGTCAGCACGGATAACATGCTGAAATCTCTCCTATCTTAAAAAATAAAAAAGCAAATAAAAATTTAAAAGCACTTCCTCGATTCTATACTACCTTTTTCCAGCTATAATGCATTCTCATTTTCAACTCAAAGCTTTTAGGAAGAGCAAATTGCAATTCCTCTCCTCTAGCCTCCAGATTATGTGGGTAAAGGCCTAGTAAGTGTCTTCACGGGGTTTTCACAGCACCCCAGACAGAGTGTACCTGAAAGCCAATTCACAACCACATCCACCTTGCAACAAAGCTTCTCCCCTCTCTGCCTTCTTCATCTACCCATCCTCTCATCCCCAGAGCGCCTCCCTGATTTCTTTATTTTGAAAACTGACACAACCCTCTACCCTTTCTAGTGAGCTATAAAACTGGACTTTCTCCATCCTTCCTTTCTCTCTATTTCACTTTCCCCAATATCACCCGCAGCATATGAAATCTCCCAATCTTGCCTGCCTGCCTCTTCACTCTCCCTCCAAGCTGCTCCCTCTCTCTAGCCTCTCTGCTGCAATCTCAGGCCAGCCTCTGCAACACTCTCCTGACCATCAGAGTCACTATGCTAAGACACAATCCTCGTGGCACCTGGCCATTATTTAAAATTCCTCTCCAGCCCACTGCCTGGTAATAAAGTCCAGACTTCTTGTCAGGGTCAAAGAGGTCCTTTCTTATCAGGCCCCTGCCTCGGTGACCTGGCTCATCCCATGTACTACTCCCTACTTCCCGCCCTCGAGCCACGTTGCACTGGTCCTGGCTGTCCCTTCCATCAGATCCATCTCCACACCCACCCAGCCTGAACTCCCTCAGGTTTCACCATTTCGGTAGAGCTCCTGCCCACCCCCCCATCTTCCTTTGGCCAGCCAGGTGGCCCTTCCTGCTTTTTCTTCAGGTTCCCATGATACCTATTCAATTTTACTACTACAGAACTTGTCATCCAGGGCAGAAACTAGGCACCTGCAAGTGTTTTTCACCAGACTCAGAGCTCCCTGGCAGTGGGGAATGTGTGCCTTCATCTCTGATCTCTCGATGCCAAGCACAATGTCTGAGATGAAGTAGGATTTCAATTTAGGTTGACTAAATGAAAGTTTCTGTGTCATCATTCCACCTTTCAAGTTGCAAGGCCTCAAGTCCTCTCTGTACCTCTCGATCCCTTAAGCTTTCTGTTTCCCAAAGTCCTCTGCCCTCTTTCTAGCTTTAACACTTTAATTACTAATTATACTCTCAAGCGTTGGTTCCAAGGTCAAGGTCCACAGGATTACAGCAGAGATGTTTATAATTACAATATCCCTTGTAAATGGTCCCTCATGGGTAGATGCCATGGGTAGATGCCATGCCGCCAAATTCACGTTTCCCTAAGTGGGATCCATAGACCTGTGGTTCTGCAGTCGTGCAAGGTGATGAGAAGGTGACCAGGGGACCAGAGATCTCTCCCAAATCCAACCTATGATAACGGTGATCCAACGTTTTCAATGAGTGATCATGCAAGCAATGATCTCAGTTCTCTAAATCTCAGTGAGAACGCATGGATTTGGAAAGCCTGGCTAATTAAATAAGCTAACACACTGACAGCTCCTCAGGGCTCCTCTCGGTTCAGTCTGGCTCAGAGCTGATCTCGGCTCTCGGCTCATGGCAGGTTAAGGGACGCAGAGAGTCCTACATTTACCTCTTTAATGTGGAGGAAGTCCTTGGCGTCGAAGGAGATGGCTGTGCTCGGAACGGGCACATCCTCGTCCAAGGCGCCACAGTAGCTCACGTTCGTCTTCACGGCAAACGCTACAGGCTTGGACTGGGGGCAGACACACGGCATAAGGACAGCGGAAGGAGACAGAGTGGGATTTTTCATATTGGAAAATACAATTAGATAATTGATAGTACCAGGCAGGAAGGGAAACCACTTTCCAAAGAGGTGTTTCAAATGGGTTTCACAGTTCCTGGCTACGTAGAGAAATCTGCAGCAATGGTTCTAAAATGATTCAACCCAATCAGCCCAAACATTTCCCCCTCCTGGGCTGCTTTCGAACATCCCAAAACAAGAAACCTGCTCTAAAGTGCTGGGGAGGGATGGAAAGACAGGCGGGGGCTGTCTGCTTTGTCCTCTACTCCTGAAACTTATGTTTGTTATTTTAAATGGTAACAGACACCCCTTGGGATATAGGAAATGTGTGCTAGGTCTTAAATTACAAGGTGTTGGCAGGAGCAAAATAAATATTTTTTTAAGATAGCCTCAGATCTGAAATCCTGTGGAATCCTACTCAAAATGAATACCTTGTCCTGCCAGGAAAAATAAAGGTCAGTTAGGCGCAGACCAGAAGAGGAAGCACCATCTTCTCCCTGGGTAACAAAAGCTCATTCCGAAAATCTTTTTAGGCAAATTCCTCCCCAGCAAAGCGCTCTTGGGTGGGTGCGTCCTTGCAGAGGCTAAGCAAACCAGCAGCCTAACAGTACTGTGGCTGCCATCTGAGTGACCACAAAGACCACAAAACACTCTGAAAGAAAACTAAAAAAAAAAAAAAAAAAAAAAAAAAAAAAATAGCTGAAGTGAGAACACAAGGTTCCTGCAATCCTGGATTGTTTTGTTAGTGGCTCATTTATTCATTCTGAGAACATGACTGGGGAGCAAGAGTTGAAGCAAGACCCTGGTTAGAGTCCTGGCCATGTCCCTTCACAAGCCCCACACCCCCTCCAGCCCACCGAGCACAGATAGCACGTGTCACAGCAAATGAAGATGCCTCGTTACTGGCATCATTCCCCTCTTACTGCTCGTACAATGAGTTTACTGTAAAAACAGAAAAAGGAAGGAATTCATATCACTTGAGCTTCAGTTTTTCTTCTAAAAGTTAGAAAGACTGGATCATTATGCCTTAGGAGTCTGTCCTGGAGGGCAAGGAACAGAGGCTGGCCACAACCCGTCTTAGATTTTACATGGAACTTCATTTGGCAAAAGGAGTCTATGCTAAAACAAACGAACGAACAAACAAACAAACAAAAACAGTTTGAAAGGCATAGAACAGGAGACCTCTTAGTGACTCTTCCAGTTCTAAGATTTAAAAATATAGTTTGCTCTTTATTGCCTCCTGTGGGTACAGAAATTCCAGGGCGGGGGGAGGGGGCTCACCGTGGTGAAATATCTAAAGTTCTATTTTTGGCAACACCTTTGTTGGCTCATGTTTGCTGAAATACTAATAGTTGTTCAAAGTACTAATACTAATACTAATAGTTGTTATTAGTACTAATACTAATAGTTGTTCAAAGCTCCAAACTTCATGCTGAATTTGAGGTAGGAGACCGAAACCAAAAGGGGAGCTGTACAGAGACCCCACGGAACAACAGTCTAGCACGTGCAGCCAGAAATGAAGGCTGATGGCCCAGAGAATGAGCGGTCAGGAACAGGTAGAGCAACCAGTGCCCGACGGGGCTCTCTGCCAGCACTGGGAGGGGCAAGCTTAAAATCAGCCACCACTGTGAAGTCGGAAGATGCCCAATAATTCGCCACCAAACCGAACGCAAAGGGTGAGGGGTCAGGGTCTCAGGAAATGGCCCCCCAGGGAATGTTACTAACCTCTCTCAGGGGGTGAATGGGTCAGGGAACCTTACAATCTGGTGCCTTATCAGGATGATCATAAAATGATTGTTCCAGAGAAATCTGCGGCAGGGGAAGAGCAGCTCATGCCTGCTGAGCAACAGGCAGCTTTGGAATCAAAGAGGGGCCAGAAAATCACCTTTGCTCTCTCCAGCTGGATCGCGGCTTGTTGTTCTCTCTCCTGCCGAATCGCTTCCCGATCCTCTTCCAAAGAGACATCGGAGTCAGACGGCCTGCTCGTGTAGGAATCCGCGGAACCCTGGAAAGGAAAACCCAGAGTGGTTTCAGTGTGGCGATGGGGAGCTCCTGCGAGCATCCCATCCATACCAGCGTCCTGGAGTGAGTTCTCATTTGCGTGGGGTTTGGTGCACGCACTCTGCGCCTTTGCTGCAGACATACGTTCGGACGGCAGAATATGATTAATCAACTTAGTAATTCCGAAGGTAGCAATGCTGTAAAGGAAAATATTTGGACTAGATTAAGTGCTAGGAAGTGAACTGTCATGAAAATTATGTGATATTCAGTTCCAATGCTTCTTGTTTTATGCTATCTTTATATTAAGCCCCTATTCATTTGTGAACTGGAAGTCTCATTCCATTCTCCCCTTTATATATACGTCTAAAGGAAAAGAGATTCAGCCTATGATAAGAGCTAAACTCTACCCATATTTTGGCCTACAGAAGACAGAATTATCTAAGATTTCAACACAGCAAAGTAGAATCCTTCATTAGTAAATGAGTTTCTAGTTCTAGTATCTAGTATCTTTCACTATTAAAACTCCAGTCCTTGGCATGCCTGGCGCTCAGTCAGCTAAGTGTCCAACTTTAGATTTTGGATAATGTCATGATCTCAGGGTTGTGAGATCGAGCCCCGTGTTGGGCTCTACATGGGGTTGGACTTAAGATTCTCTGTCTCCATCTTCTCTGCCCCTTGTCCCCTCTCTCTCCCTCTCAAAGCAAAACAAAATAAAACTTTAGTCATTGTCCCACAATAGCCACACCTGGTCACTATGGCCACCAAGCCATGAACCTTAAAGATGAAAACAAGGATGTTCTCAATGGAAGCACACACCTAGAAGACCTATTTAAACAACACTGAAATCCAGCCTCACAGATGTGGCCAAGGTACTGGGGGTTTCCAGCATCACTCGGTATTCATGGCATAAGAAGAGATGAAAACTATAGCACCTAGTTAAAAAGTTAAAAAAGGGGGCATCTTGGTGGCTCAGAGGGTTGAGCCTCTGCCTTTGGCTGGGGTCATGATCTTGGGATCCTGGGATCGAGACCCATATCAGGCTCTCTGTTTGGTGGGGAGTTTGCTTCCCCCCTGCCTCTGCCTGCCTCTCTGCCTTGTGATCTCTCTCTCTGTCAAATAAATAAATAAAATCTTAAAAAAAAAAAAAGTTTAAAAAAGTCTTTAAGTCTGCCCTCTGGTTGCTAAAGGAACATTGACCTTATGATATCCCTAAGCTGGCATTACAAGTTGGTATTTGCATAGATGATGACATTTACACAGCAGTGTTACTGATAGAACTGGTGTATTTGGTATGTTTCATACATCACACACAGATTTTGAAAAGCACAGACCTATCCATACAGTTGAGAGCCTACTATCCACTGCAGAAAAGAACTCTAAGAATGGTTGACTGCCGAAATGGATCCTTTGAAAGTTTTCCTAAACTTAGAAATGTTAGGGTTAGCATAGATTTTCCTGGTGGCCTAGGACAGTAACTCCTGGTGAGAGGTTTTATCAGAACACCCAACAGAACCCTGGTTCTTAATTCTTCCTCTGCAACTTACTTTAGAAAACTATGCAAGTTACTTCGGCCACTCCAGACTCAGTCTCTTCATATGCACAATGGGGACACTGCTTACTTCAAAGAATTAAATGGAATAAGACATAATGAACAGCTAATTGACTTAGTCCTCACTATTGTACCAGTACAGAGCTAGCTGTTTGGCACACCTCTCGTCTCTCTGAATCCTGGGAACAGTGTAGAAGCTTCCATTCAAACTTGGGCAGTCTAACCCTAGAACTAGCAGCTTGAAACCCTACACCGAGCTGCACTTGATATTAAAATATTTACTCCAGGATGTGGCACATGGTAAGCACATAATAAGTGGCCATTCACATCCCTGTTTCCTAGTCCTGACAGCTTTACATTGATTAAAAAAAAAAAAAGACTCTAATCATTTGTTCAACTCAAATATATACACAACAGCCCATCTCGAAAAATACCCATTTTTCTCATTGTATTTGTTGCCAAGAAAACACTATGTTTTTTTCCCAGCTTTATTGAGATATAATTGACCTATATAACACAGTGTATGTTTGAGGCGTACAATTTGTTGATTTTACGCACTTATACACTGCAAAATAATTACACTGTAAGTGTGATAACTGCAATGTGCCCAAATCCATGCACTTAAGTGGCACTTCTGGAAGTGCCCTTTATAGAGGAAATGGGTTTGTTAAACAAACGATAACCAAATTCCTATGTGCAACAGTACTGGGGAAAAATCTGGACCTACAAAATGGATGAGTGCAGGGTGACTATCTATAGATCCCTCATTGCTGAAAGAAAAAGCGACTTCGAAGTCCTAAAAGCGACTTCGAAGTCCTTTCAATGAGTTTTCTTAGAACACAGTTTTTATCCAAATGTAGGTATTCCTGCAAACAAACCAGAGTAAGAGGGAAAGAAAACAATGTTTCTAAAATATATATGAGAATAGTTTTGAGTTTGTTCTAGGCGATGCTTTGCTGCCGTGTGATAAGTGCTGTAGATCATTTCAAGATACTCGTCTGGCTGCGTGAAGAGGTCTGGACCGAACTTGACTGTGCCGCATGAAGTCAAGAAGGAGGCACTTGCTGTGTTTTGCAAACATGTGGTGGGAGGCTGAGGACTGCAGTTCAGAATCAGGCAGGCTGTCTGCGGGAGCAGTGAGGCAAACGACTAAAGACGACAGTCTACTGTTGACCCGAAGAGATGGCTCCTTCCCAACACTACCTTCACGGCTTTTCATCCTGGCATTCCATTATCTCTCAGCACACGAGAAGTAACTCAAAGGATTCCTGCAAGTGAACTTGATTTTGAAATGTGAACAAGATTCTGTGAACATTTCAAAATTACTTAATAAGTTCTACTACTGCCAAAATGTAAAAGCAGAAGCTTCTGTTTACTTTCCTGTTTTAAGAATATGGGTAGAAGGAAAGATAGAGCACTAGGATGTTTGTTTTCATAATCCCAGGGTTACATCATTTTGGCACTTACTCTGGTGTTTCTTCTTCTTTCTTTTTTTCAATGCCATCTACATTTCTTTGAATATGGAAATCACTGTCTTTCAGGGTTCTGGGGAAACACAAGTGTACCATCAGGAGCCCCAGTTTGGCTCATGGACATGTTCTGCTGGCTTGGCAAAGAAATGGTTTCTTGTTTGTATTTATTTGTTTTGTTTTGTTTCAACTGGGTTGAAGAGAGTATAGACATATCCCAGCAGAAAGAAGGAAAAGAAAACAAAAAGGACCTGGGATACATACAAAGAGCTCAGAGAAGAGAACAACAGAGTCACAGAGCAGCAAGAGGAGACTGCCTGGGCCAGACCGGACAAAGGATCTGGAAGGGAAGGGGCTATATAGCAGGCTTGGTAAAACTGAGGGCTGGATGGGGGCTGCCAGAGAGCTGGTTACACATTTATGATCAGGCACAGGGAACTGGCAAGAAACGAACAATGCAGGATGCCAAGAGGATATAAGTGAACATGCAAAGTTTACTAGCTCTGGCAAAAGCTGGAAAATGCAGCCCCACCAGCTTTCCCTTTTCTGGAATTCTACATCATAAATGGGCGATGAGTGAGCTAGCCAGCTTATCAGGTGAGCCAAACCTGCAAGAGACATGACAGAGGCTAGCTGCAAAAGTTCCTAAGCAGACACCATGACAAGTCACATCTTGGTCTCCAATGAACCAACTACATCAGGAGAGAAGTGGAAGCATCTGCTGCAAGTCTCTTCATGTTAAATATAATAATTTATGTACATATGTGCATATACAGATGTGTATGTGTATGCATGGATGTCATTTCTTTTTTAAAGATTTCACTTATTTATTTGAGAGAGATAGAGTAAGAGAGAGCATGAGGGCTGGGTAAGGGGAAATGGGAGAAGCAGGCTCCCTGCTAAGCAGGGAGCTGGATGTAGGGCTTGATCACCGGACTCTGGGATTATGACCTGAGCCCAAGGCAGAAGCTTAATGACTGAGCCACCCAGGCATCCCTCAGGGATATCATTTTAAAAACCAAAACATAGTGCATCCCAGTGAACATCAAAAGAAAGAGGGACGCCTGGATGGCTCAGTTGGTTAGGTGACCAACCCTTGCTTTCAGCTCAGGTCATGATCAGGGGGTCCTGAGATGGAGCCCTGCATTGGGCTCTGTGCTCAACAAGGAGTCTGCTTGAGGATTCTCTCCCTCCCCATTGCTCCTCTCCCGTCACTCATGCTCTGTCAAAATAAATAAATAAATCCTAAAAAAAAAAAAAAGAAAGAAACATGAATCTTTCCATTAATATAAGGCTCAGACCCATTTTCCACCTTTCTTCAATATTGAAAACAGATTCATGCCTTTCATGAATCTTGAGTACAAAATACAAAACATTGATGGAAACACTAGAAAATCAGTTTACTATTGTCCTGGAAGAAGGAAAGTGATGCTGAGCCAAACAAAATGGAGGGGCTTCTTCTCATTCCCAGAGAGGGGCCATGACACAGGGGAGAGAGCAGCCACGGGCTGGGGGGCCACACAGTGCTGCTTTTGACACTCTGGCCAGTTTTTCCAGGCTGTGGATCTTGGAAAAGTATTTTAACTTCCTGAGTCTCCATTTCATCCGCTGAGAGATGAGGATAGTAATATTCACCTTGTCGAGTTTCCCAGTGTTTGGTTTGAGATGGAACATCACTCCTTTTACCACCATTAGGGAAATTCAGAGAATGCCAGCAACTAATCTTTGACTCACTAAAATTCTGGCAGCTTGTCAGCATTAAATTTTTGGCTGTCTCAGGGTTTTAGGATTTACATCTTGTTGTTTTTCATTGTTTTTTTTTTTTTTTAAACAGCATTACCGAGGCATAATTTATATACCATTAAATTCACACATTTTACCTGTACAATTTAATGATTTTTAACAACTTACAGAACACAATTTATACTACAATCTAATATTAGAGTATTTCTACCACCTCCAAAGAGACCTATGCCAACCCCAGTC